ATGTATGTAAAGTGCTAAGCACAGCCCCAGCACGTTGGGAGCAAATAAATGTTAGCCTCTGTCCTCCAGTGTTAGAGCCTCCCCAGTGAGATATTTTCAATTAACTTATTTTCAAAAGCAATACATATACACATCATCTTTGTAAAAAAAGAAAAAAAAAAAGAAAGAAAGCATTTCAATTAGTTTAAAGCCTCTTTTGACCACTAACCCAACCCCAGCGCCTTCCCAGATGGAACTGCTGTTTCCAGTCAGATGTGTGAGCTTCCAGATCTTTCTTCCTCCACTTATGTATATGCATGTATCCATATAAAATATCTTGTTTCCTTTTTAATGGGTTTTTATAAATGTATACATGATATGGTACTGGATGTATCATTCTCCAGCCTGCTTTTTGCACACTATAGGTGGCCTTGGAAATATTTCCATGTGCTAACATAAAAATCGACCTCGTTCTCCTGAACCACTGAGAAGGACTGCCCTAAATGGATATACCACATTTCATTTAGCTGTGATCCCATCGAAGGAACTTTCGGTCTTTTCTTGCTGGGATGATGGACACCCTTGCCCAAGGCTCTTTGCAGGTGTTTCTCTGGGTCAGAAAGTGTAAATTCCTTGAGGCCAGGTTTGCGCTGGGGCCCATGGACACCCTTCCTCTGTCCTCGGTCCTGCTCGGATCCCCCAGGATAGTCACACAGACCCAGGAGAGGCCAGAAGGCCCCTGGGCTGTGAAAAGCCGGCGTCCTGTGCCTTAGAGGCCTGCCCCCCCGTGCAGCAGAGTTGAGGGGCATAGGATCCTCCTCCCCAGGAGCTCGGTCCCCTCCTCGTGTCCTCTGCGTTGTCCCGCTCCCCATCGCCGGCTCAGTGGGTAACCCGAGCCGGGTCAGCTGGTGGAGTATGAGGTAGCGTCTAGCAGAGCGTCACGGTATTTTATTAAGTCCGAAATGTGATCGCTACTGTTGTCACAGTTTAGCGCCCCCAACAATCCCCTTGCAAATGAGAATACCAGGGCCTCCCCACATACCTTTCCCCTGACACCAGGGGAAGCACAGGAGCCCTGCCCAGGGACCTGAGCCTGTGTGACCCCCGGAGCGGCTTTCGAGCTTGAGGGAAGGACTGGGGGGCAGAGGGACGTGTTTTTCCAATTTCAGGCAAAGTAATGGACTGGGGAGAAATCTGCTATTAATTTTGTTTTCTCTGTGCCTGAGTCTGTAAGGGCAGCGTTGGCTTTTGAATACAGTTGTCATCAGCATGTCGGGATTGCTGGTCCCATCTCTAAGGTGGCCGTGGATCAGATGTCTCCAACTCAGGTGCCCACGGGGGCCACGTAACCCGGCGATGTAAAGTGAGGAAAACCCCGTAGGCACTGTGAACGACTGGAAATGGAGATCGAGGCTAAGGATTCTCGGGATAGAAGAATGCAAGCCCTCTATTGCCAGAGCGTGTAAATCCTCAAAATAGCTGAAAATCTGGAGAGACGGAGAAAGAGAGAGAACAAGAAGAGAGAGGAGGGAGAGAGAGAGATTCCCTGAGTTTACGTATTAGATATTGTTCCAGAAACTTTTTTAAGCACAGTGTGGGTTAAACGAGATATGTCTCCAGACCAGCTTGCAACCCTTCCCTAATTGAACTTATCAACGTAGAAGCGAAGTTGTCAACCTAGTTCCTTTATCCCTCTAGAGCAATGATGGAAATACATGCACCATCCAATATGGTGGCCACTGGCTACATTTGGCTATAGAGCACTTGAAATAGGCCTAAAGAACTGAATTTTTTATTCTGTTTTATTTTAGTTAATTTAAATGTAACTATAAATAACCACATGTGGCCAATCACTACTGTATTAGCGTGACTACAGAATCTTTACATTGGGGGCGCACCTTCATGCTCGACTGCTTTAGGAAAGGGCACTCCAGCTTGGGGAGGGGGATCAGGTATACCTGAAACCCCCCCAAGCGTCTATGAGAATCCTGGGTACGTGGAAAGAAAGGAAATATGGAACAACAGCAGAAGAGGTTTAGGTGTAAGCCAGATATCTACTGACTCAGGAGTGGTCACTCAGTGTCCCCCCAGTTTTTTTTCCAGCGTTCTCCGAAGAGTTTTTCAACTGGGGTCACCATTTAGCATCCGCCATGTTCTTTGCCATCTGCTCCGACGCCCATGTGCCCATGGCTGACCCCTGGGGAACCATTTGGTGGGACTTCCCTGCTGCCATCACCATCCAGGCCCATCAGAGCACACCACTGCCCATGCCCAGGCACTGTCCCCAGCTCACAGCCGTGCGAGGTCCTGTGCAGCGGGGGAAGGGTGGCTCCCGGACTCTGAGTCGTACTTTGTCACTGCCACAGAGCTGTGGGCCAGAGTGTGCCGGGGACTCTGGAAGCAAACTTAACCTTCCAGCAGACCCCTTTCCAATCCAAAGCCCCTTCAGGGACCAGCGGCCACACCACTCCTTCTCCCTGGTTCCAGCCTCGACCCCCAAAAAGCAGTCCAGGCGGTCCCTAAATGCCACTATCCCCACCCCCACATCTCCATGACAACAAAGTTACCTCTATATATCTTTTTTTTTTTTTTTTGGTGAAGAGGATTGGCCCTGAGCTAACATCTGTTTCCAGTCCTTCTCTTTTGCTGAGGAAGATTGGCTCTGAGCTAACATCGGTGCCCATCTTCCTCTATTTTATATGTGGGACACCACCACAGCATGGCTTGATGAGCAGTGTGTCAGTCCACACCCGGGATCTGAATCCGCGAACCCCGGGCCACCAAAGTGGAGCATGCAAACTTAACCACTACACCACCAGGCCAGTCCTATATATCTTTAAAAAATTAATGAGAGAAGGAGCCATCATCCCCCAGCAAAGCTCCTGTTCTTAAAGATAAATTTAAGCCTCTTCTTGTGTAAAAAGAGATCTGCTCAAAATGTTGAAAACACTATTTTTTTTCCAGCTTCCAGCCTCCCGTGAGGGGTCAGGAGATGTTACAACCAATTTTTTTCTCAGAGGTGAAGGTCAGAGTTCCGTGTGCCTCTTCTCTCCCCAGTAGTCTTTGCGAGGAGATATCCGCCTCCTGAAATTACCTTGCAACCAAAATGTGAACGTTTATAAATCTTAACACAGTAATAAAAACTAACATTTATGTAGCGCCTACTGTGTGCCGGGTGTATGCTAGATGTTCTCAGTGCAGCATCTCACTTCTCACATCAGCCCTCTGCGGTGGGTTCTGTTATTATCTCCATTTACCAATCTGACCTCTGAGGTTCAGGGTGGTTATGCCACTTACTCGAGGTCACACAGCTGGGAAGTGGTTGCACCTAGGATCCAAACCCAGGTGGTCAGATTCCAGAGCTCTAGCAGCACCACGGGGGCTGGCACAGCACACTCACAATTCTTGCCCTATCAACCTATCATCCAAATGTACTTCAGGATGGAGATGGAATTGACAGGGTTGGTGTGTATTTCGTGTAGCTGCCATTGAGGGTGTCGCATCACTCTTGACTCTTGGTTTCAGAGTGACTGAAGTCCAGCTCCACTAGCTTAAACTGGAAAGTCCGTGTATTAGTTTCCTGTTGCTGCTGTAACAGATGACCACACACTTGGTGGCTTAAAACAACACGAGTGTGTTCTCTTACAGTTCTGGAGGTCAGAAGTCCAAAACCAGTTTCACTGGGCTGATGATGTTGGCAGAGCTGGTTTCTTCTGGAGGCTCTGAGGGGAGCATCTGTTTCTTCGCCTTTTTTGGCTTCTAGTGGCTACCTGTATTTCTTGGCTTGTGGCCTCTTCCTCCGTCTTCACTCCAGTCCCCTTCTCCTGTCTATCATCAGATATCCTGCTGCCTCTTACTTATGAGGACCCTTGTGATTACATTTAGGGCCCACCTGGATAATCCAGGATAATCTCCCCGTCTCAGGACCTTTAATTTAATCACATCTGCAGAGTCCCTTTTGCTATATAAGGTTCGGGGGATTAGGATGTGGACATTTGTAGGGGGCTGTTATTCAGCCAACCACAGTCAAGGTGGCCTAGTTTCAGCTGTGGTGGGATCCAGGGGATCAAATAGTGTGATCAGGGCCTCATCGCTCTCTCCAGCTCTCAGACCTGCTTTCCTCCAGCGGCTCCAGGCTTAATCCTGCCATCCAGCAGCCCCAGTGGAAGGAGAGCGCCTCCTTCCCAGAAGTCCCAGCCAACGTCCCAGGGCTGGTTCTCATGGGTCCGGCTTAGACCACATGCTCATCTCTGAAGCAATCACTGTGGCCAGAGGGATCCTGGGTCTCTCTGATTGGTTGAGGGACCAACTCAGACCAACCAATCTGAGTCATGTGCCCACCTTTGTCATCCCCTCCCCTCGGTCTTAACTCACGTGTGTTAAGATGTTTCCCCAAAGAGAACTGAGAGATGTGTGGGTTGTAGAAAGCAGGATGGCATTGGAGTCTGTTGAATGGGAAGCCCTTGGAATGGTGCCTGGCACATAGTGTGCTCAATAAATGATGATCACAGATCATGGACACAGAGGGGCCTTGGGGAGGGGCTATCTCCAGCTCATACTTGGAGCATGCAAGGTTCACTAAGCGGCTGAAGGCAGAAGAGCATTCCGAGGCGAGGAAACACCTTGAATGAGGCGAAGGCTTCCACCGTGTGGCCGGGGTGACCAGATGTACCTGGGGCGGAGGGCGAGGGCTCCGTTTTGTGCCTGTCCTCCCAGTGTAATATTAATAGCAGCCCCCTTTACTTGCAAAACTAACTTGGTTTGCATGATAAATGATATGGTCACCCCCCACCTTATAGCCAACCTGCTCATTTATAAGGAAACCAAAGGCAAAAGAGGGGATGAGACTTAACCCAAGGTCATTTCACCGTTGGTGGCAAAGCTCAGACTGGAATTCAAAACTTCTGACTCCCAGTCCAGTGCTCCTTCCCCCCGCAGCATATGAAACCAACTGTTAAAGCCTGCATCAGATTAACCAGTCCCGTTTTTCCGTTTTTCTCTTCTTGCCAAATTCTCCATAGGATTGTGACCAGATCCATGTCGACGATGTCTCATCTGATGACAATGGGCAAGATTTAAGGTAGGACTTTGGGGAGTCAAAAATGCCCCTTTTGATTGGTTATTGAGCTCGCCTTTCACTAGGAGGTTGGAGAAGAAGGGCGGGCTGGTTATCAGGACGAGACGTACCAGCCTCCAGCCAGAACTGGGATGTGTGTTTCTCTGAACTCAAAACTCACAACCCGCCCCCACCCCACCCTGCAGCCTCTTCCACATCACCTCATATCACTGAGGCTGAGATTTCCACAAATTCTCTGTGACTCGGCTTATGTTTCTCTCTCTATGGGTTTTTTCCTGCTTACTAAAGTAATACATGTATATTGTAAAAAATTCAAACACCACTTCTGATCTTGCCTCCCAGAATCACCACCATTAAGAGTTTGGTTTATCTTCTTCAAAGGTTTGATTGCATTTATTAGCACATATATATTGTTTAATATAAAAGTTGGTATAGTTGATACTCAAAAAAATATTTCTTGAATGAACAAGTGGTATGTCTGGCTTCTAGAGGAGAACACTCTTGGGACATGGATTCTGGAAATAAGGTACCCAACTGCTCAAAAGGAGACAGCTGTCAGAGGAATGTGGCTGGAATGTTCCGAGCCTGCCCCTGGGGAAACTTTATAAAAACGGAACCATAATTAATCGGTGTTTATCCAAATTATCACAGTTCAACACCTCCAGGCCCATCAAAAATATTAGAACAGATGATGTTTTGCTTATGGGGCCAGTCATCGTAACTCCGTTTAGTGTTTGCTTCCTGGGTGTGTCTTCCAGCTTACTCCAGGAAAGAAATCTAAGTTCTGTCACCGAGCCTGCAAGTCTTTTCACAGCCCAGCGCAATTAGAAGTGATAGGTGGACAGGCGCCTGCTTCATTTTAATTAGCCATTCCAAAAATCCCTTCTGTCACCAGGACCGGCAAGGAGCAAGCCTTCAGGGCCAGACAGGATCTCTCAATTTATGGAGTAAATAAAACTCAGATCAAGGTTAATTATGCCCTTTCCATGAAGTCATCGCTGGGAACCACTCTCCCTTTCAAGGCAATGAGCAACCAGGGTTCCGTTTTTGTGAAGTCTCCCCTGTAACTGGCTGACTTGGAATTCAGAGCAATGTTCCTCTGAATCCTGCCTCAGGCTGAGCTGTTTGGTACCTCACGTCAAAAATCTACAATCCAATAGGAGTGTCTTTTACCCCTACAAACCAAATTCCTCATTTGTTCATTCAAGAAATATCTACTGAGTCCCTGCTGTGTGCTAGGCATCCAGTGCCCCTTGTTTTGTTTTTTTTTCTGTTAACAGTAAAAACCAACCTTGGTAACGCCCTTATTTTGTGCCATGCCCTGTTCCAGATGCTTCACGTGGATTAACTCATTGCATCTTCACAGGAACCCTAGGAAATAGATGCTCTTATCATCACCCCCATTTTACAGTTGGGGAATGGGAGCACAGAGAGGTTAAGTAACCTGCCCAACCTCACACAGCAGGCAAGAGGAGGAGGCAGGATTCATGGACGCCCTTCCCTGCCCTCCGCCTCTTGGCAGAACATCCCGGCACTCCCCGAGGCATCCTCTGAGTTTATAGTCAGTGTTCTTTTTTAAGAATCAATTATCTAGCCTTTCTGCACTGCCCAGAGAGGGATCCATGGGTTCCCCATTGTAACTCAAAGGGAACCTTTCACGATGTCCGGAGCCCTTGATGTCCTGCAGATGAAGGAGGAGGATGTCCTCACGTTCCTTGCAACAGGAACCCAGTTAGGTGGCACCAATCTTGACTTCCAAATGGAACAGAACATCTACGAAAGGGAAAGTGTTGGCATCTACATCATAAATCTGAAGGAACCTGGGAGAAGCTTCTGCTGGCAGCTTGTGCCTTTGTTGCCCTTGAAAACCCGGCTGATGTCACTGTCACATCCTCCAGGAATACTGGCCAGTGAGCTGTGCTGGAGTTGGCTGCCCCTGGAGCCAGTCCTATTGCTGGCCGCGTCGCTTCTGGAACCTTCACTAACCAGCTCCAGGCGGCCTTCCAGGAGCCACAACTTCTGGTGGTTACTGATCCCAGGGCTGACCCCCAGCCTCTCACAGAGGCTGTTATGTTAACCTGCCTGCATTGCTCTGTGTAACAGACTCTGCTCTGTGCCACGTGGGCGCTGCCATCCTGCAACAAGGGAGCTCAGTCGGTGGGTCTGATGTGGTGGGTCCTGGCCCGGGACGTTTTGCACACAGCTTCCGTGAACACCCACGGGAGGTCATGCCTGGTCTCTGCTTCTGCAGACACCCTGAAGAGATCAGAAGGGACGAGCAGGCCCCTGCTGCAGGGGCTGTGACCGAGGAGGGATTTCCAGGTGGATGGACTGCTGCAGCTCTCAAATTTACTGCTCTCCACCTGAAGTCGCAGAGCGGCCTGGAGGCGCGCAGGTGCCCTCGGCGCCGTCCAGCAGCTCCCACTGAGGACCGCAGGGCCCAGCCCACCACTGATGACTGGCCCACGGCTCCCACTGCTCAGGCCACCGGATGGGCAGGAACCACCGCTGAGTGGTCCTAAGCTGTCTTCCACAGACGCCTAAACAGAAAACGAAAATGTTTCATTTTCTTGATGGAAGATAAACAGTTTCTAAAAAAAAAAAAAGAAAGAAAGAATAAATTATCTAGCAAGATGGGAACCTTTGCAGTAAAGAGGAAGGACCCCGTGGCAATTAAAAGTGTGGGTTCTGGAAACAAGGGGCTGTGATGGGATAAGGTCATATAGCCGCTTTCTCATTGGGTTAAGAATGTGCTGGAAAAGTGCCCAGCACAGTGAGTCCTTGGTAAATGGCTGTCATACCCCTGTGATTCCATGTTGTCCTCTCTTTTACCAATTGGGTATATTTCACTCATCTTTAGCCCGTGGTCACCACCACCACCCAAGGTGGGGGTGGGGGCGCTGAGAAGGAAAAAGCAGCAACGTGTCTGTGTAATAAACCCATTGACATCTTTCGTGGGAAAGGGGAAGTTTTTGTGCAAACAAGTTATTAGAACAGTCATATCGTATTCTCCTTGGGTCTTTTTAAATTTGGGTAATTCAGTAAAGAGCAGAGAAGAAACTATAATGATTCATATTCCCCCCATCTCGAACTAACCACTTTCTGGCATTACGAACATTACTTGCTTCCAGTTTTATACGCACTCACACAAATGTCTGTGAAAAATGACACAGGTGCCTGTGTGTGTTAGGGAGTGTGTGTGTGTGTGTTTACATGGACACACGGGTAAGAATTTAAAGACATCTAAAGAACAATTTCTGTGACTGTCCACACAACCTGCTCTGGAAGGAACAGCAGGGTCTACATCTGAGGCCTTTGGGATTGATTCACTGGGGCCAGTGTCTTCCTGGCCCGTCTGCCCCAGGGAGCCCCCAGGGTGAAATTTGCTGTTGACTGAGACATGGCCCAAGGCCTGTCTGTGGCTCCTGTAGGGTGCTTGTCACCACACAGCCTCTTCCTGGGAGGAGTCGCACATCCAGGCAGGAGGCCTGGCCTGCTCAGCGTGAGGCTGAGCCCCAGACACAGATGGTGGGTGACGGCAGCACGCCACATCCGCACATCGCACGCCCACAGGGAGGATGACCCGGCGCTCCACACTTCTCAGGCTCCCTTTTATTGTAAACTGTAGCTACTTAAGATATAATTTTCGAGTGCTGTTTCATTCCTGTTGCGTCACGTCATTGTAAAAAATAAAACGTCTCTCTTTTTCCACTCTTAAACTTGTCCTAGAAAATCCAGAAACACCAAGTAGTACAAAGAGAAAAAACTCAGCGAAACCCACACCCTGAGGAGGCCACAGAACCATGCTGACCTGTCTCCTTCCAGTCTCCTTCTCCCTGAAGAGACTTTCATTTGGAGGCTTTTCGCAGACTGGACACACACCCCTTGTTACGATCTGGTTTTCCCTGTGACCTTACAGCCTGGGCGTTACTCCCTGATTTTGCAAACCTTCCCCAAAGCTGATCGAGGGACAGAGAAAGGCGTTCTCTGGAGGGCTGGGCTTTTCATCCTCACACTGGAGTTGCTGTCGGTGGCGAATCACACTCTCCCCTTCTGGTTCCCAGCTGTCATTTTGTCACTAACTTTGTGTGACACTCTGACTCATCCCCCGTCCGCGTGTAGAACTTCGTAGCCCAGCGTGCTTCAGTCAGGGTGGCAGGTTATCCAAAGCACTGGCAATCAACTCTGCCTAACTTAACAAATAAGAAAATCCAAATCGAGAATTTCTGTGGAAAGATGTGGGGTTGCTCACAGAATGGGAAGAGAGGGTCAGCAGCCCGGCCTTGAGGTGACATGAACCAGGGCAGATTCGGGGATCAAAGTAGCAGGGACTAATAACATTTTCTTCTGGACTCTTCTGTCAGGAGGAACCAACTCCATCCATTTTTAGGAGTTCCCTTCCAGCTTCAAATTCTAAAGAGAGAGAGAGTCTTCTTAGCTTGGGCACTGCATGCAGAGGACAGGAATAGATCCCCCCACCCCCCGCCAAAAAAAACAGAGATGCTATTTGATACCAAAAGAAAGAAAAATGGATGCTGATTAGGCGAGAGCAAAAGATGCCACCGTTCTTTGGGAAGCCAATAAAAGCTGTGGTCCTGCTCCTCCCCGAACACACATACACACAGCACCTTGCACGCTGGGGGGTTCATGGGTGCCCTACGCCCCATCCGTGATCCCGCAGGGCCTGTGGTCTCCTGGTGAAGAGCCCCCACCTCCCCACTTTAACCCTGTCTCTTCTCCCTCCCCCGCCCCTCCCTCTCCCCAGCACGTACAACTTCTCCGCTGATGGCTTCCACAGTTCGGCCCCGGGAGCCAACCTGTGCCTGGGCTCCGGCGTCCACGGCGGCGTGGACTGGATGAGGAAGCTGGCCTTCCGCTACCGGCGGGTGAAGGAGATGTACAACACCTACAAGAACAACGTGGGTGGTGAGTGGGCCGGGAAGAGGGCCGGCCGCGGTGCTCAGGGCCTGCCTGTGCTCAGGCCGCACCCCTGCACCAAGGGGCATTCCTCAAGGATGGACGCTGTCACTTACGTCGCCCCTGCTCTGTGCCAGGCACGCTTCTGAGAGGTTGATAAATGCTGGCTCACTCAGCGTGACCCTCATGATGCCCTCGGGAAGAGGGCACTGTTTATCATCCTCATTGGAGGGGGTGGAAGCTAAGGGGTGGATGAAGCATCTTGCCCGAGATTCCACAGCCCACACACAGTGGGGTGGGCGTGGGGGTTGACCTCCCCCATGCTCTGAGTCACCCCCAGTGGTTCTCAAAGTGTGGTCCTCCGCCAGCAGCAGCAGCAGCACCTGGAGACTTAGAAATGCAGGTTCTCAGGCCCCCAGGCCACTGAGTCAGAGTCTGCATTTTTAACAAGACCCCCAGGTGGTCTGCAGAAGCGTTAAAGTTGAAGACGCCCGGGAGTCACCACTTCTCGAACTTGGCTCCTGTTGGAACCACCTGAGGCCTCTCTGATTCTGGTTTTCTTAGTCTGGCCGCGGCCTGGGCATCGGGATTCATAGGGTGCCCTGGGTGGCTCTAGTGTGCACCCGGGTGAAAGCCGCCGGCTTGGGTGGCAGGAGAGCCAAACAAGAAGTCTGGAAGGGGCTGGAGGCAAGGTTGGCCCGCAACGGCCAGGCCCTGGATCTATTTCTGGAATTCTCTAGGCTGGTGGTTCTCAACAGGACGAGACACTGCTTCTCCCCCAGAGGCGTTTGGGGGTGTTTTTGATTGTCACAATCTCTGGAGCAGCTGCTGGCCCGTAAAGGGAAAAGGTCTGAGTGGGCGGCTGAGAGTGTCTGCCATGTACACCTCGGCCCCAAACGCTGCCAGGGCTCTCTCCCCACCCCAGAAAGAGTCGAGTCCCAGGAAGAATTGAGGGTCTCAACCTGGACAGAACCCACTTCCAGCCCTAACTGCCACCCTCTAGCTCTCTCTCAGAGCCTCAGTTTCTAAGCCTATGAAATGAGGATAAAAATGATTCTGCTCCCCGGGGTAACAAGAGGTTTGTAGTTAATGCACAGGAAAGGCAGACTCCGTGCCTGGTCTGTGGCTGGCACCCAATAAATGGTGACATTCATCACTAGTTCCTTTCAGTGTTGCTTGGCTGTCTTTCGGGTTCCCTTGTGTCTTCTGCTTTCCCCGGACAGACCATCAGTTCTTCAGGACGGATTTTCTGTCTTGTCTGTGGCTATGGTCCTAATGCAGTCCTCGCGTAGCTAATGTTTATTGCACACTTACTCTCTGCTGGGCTCTGTTATGAGGTCTCTTCATCTAATAGCTTATTTGCTCTTCACAGCATCCCTATAAGGTAAGTGCTTTTACCATCCGTATTGTAGGAAGGTGGAAACGGAGATCAGAGAGGTTAAGTAACCTGCCCAGCATCACACAGCCCAGGCGGCAGAACCATGGTGGTATCCCAGGCCACCACTCCACCACCTCTGCCTACACTCCATGGCCTCCACATCCCAGTCTGTTGACTGCAGGAGTGAAGCAGAGAGCTTCAGGGTCGGCCCTGCTTGCTCACCGCCCCTATGCAGAGAGAGGACGGGAGCAGTGTGCTTGGAGTCAGGGAGACAGGGATGGACTCAGCCCACTGGGGCCATCTGCTCCCCATCCAGGTTAAGCCCCAGGAAATGCCCAGGGCTTCTGTCAGGCGCTGTTGCTTTCTCACAAGCTGAGAGGAAATTACCCGGTATGTCAGCAGGCGGGAGCTGGCAGCTGGCCGGAGGCTGGTGGGCAGCCCCCCACCTCCCCGTTGTAGCTTCTGCGTGCTACCCCCGTCCCCCTGCTGTTTGTGCATCACAGAGCTAGCCTGGTGAGGGCTGCGGCCTCCAACCTGGGGGTCACCCCAGACCCCAGGATTCCGAGAGTTCTAGAAGGTTGCTCGGAAGAAAGACATCCGCAAGATACAGGATAAAGAGAGAAAACACCCAGGAGGCAGTGGTTGGGTTCAGAGGCCTTTACCTGACTTCACATCTCCCTCTGCCATGTCCTGTGTAACCCTGAGCAGGTCACTGGACCTCTCTGTGCCTCGGTTTCCTCAAGTGTAAAGTGGGAATAATGCTGCTGCCCATCTCACAGGATAATGGGAATTAACACATGGACGGCGCTTGGAGCAGTGTCTACTGCATAGTAAGCGCTTCTTAAACGTTGCCGTTGTGATCGGGGGACGGTGGGACCCGGCCTGGAGGAAAACCCGGAGGGTAGGCAGCGAGCCGACTGTAGCTTGAAGCAAACTTCCTACAGGTGCAGAGTAGGAGTGGTTGACCAGCTAGCTACATGGCAGCACGCATGGGAAAGCCTGTTGTAAACTGTAAAGTGCCCTTGTGAGTTTGTGGTGTTGTTAAGGGTCCCAGCTAAGGGGCTGTGGGGAAGGTGCAGAGAGAAGGGAGAACCAGAGGCCGCCTGCTCTCAGTTTATGGAGTAATGAGAAGACGGGACGTGTAGCGATAAGAGATCCATTCATTAATTCATGTGTCCATCATCAAGGACCTACTCTGTGGATACAGCAGTGAACACGAGGTCCCCGCCCTCAAGGAGTTTAGATTCAATATGTGGAGGAGACAGACATAAACCAGTGCACAAATAACTTCAAATTCTGAATTCACTCATTTCAGAGAGTGAGAAGACCCACAAAGGAAATACAAGAGAGGGATGTAGCAGAGAGAGCCTGGGGGTCAGGGCTACTGTGTAGAGGGGACCACAAAGGACATCTCTCAGGAAGGGATATTTGAACTTACTTCCAAATGGTGGTAACAAGATGCATGGTGTTGAGGGCTGACCAAACCAATACAGGCAGAGAGGGAGTAAATCAGTTACGGTTATATGAGACAACAAAGAATAACAATGCCTGAAGCCAAATAGAAATGCATTTCTTTCTCATATACAAGACCTGCAGGAAATCCAGAGCTGGCAAAGCACTTCAGTGTTTGGAGCCCAGGTTCCTTCTATCCTGTTGCTCTGCCATGTTCAGTCCCTGGCTTCTGCCTCACAGTCCAAAGTGGCTGCTCTAGCTCCAGCCATAATATTCCAAACAGCAGGAAGGAGGAAGAAAGCAAATAAGGATAGGCCTCCTCTCTTTGAGGACAATTCCTAGAGGTCACACACGACACTTCCACTTCTCAATGGCCAAAGATTTAGTCCCATGACCACACCAGCCGTGATGAATATGGAGGAAGGGAGCCTTTTAGCCTGGCAGCCATGCACTCACCTAAATCAAGGTTCTTATTACCTAATTACCTTATTACCTAGTTCTTCTCTAATGAGAAGATTTTTGATATTTTTATTAATTACTAAAGAGAAAAATGGATAGTGTCATCTGATATGAAACCTCAAGGTGCAGTAGCTAGACTCCCCTTCCCTTAACGCTACATGCCCAGATCTTTTTTTTTTTTTTTTTGGTGAGGAAGATTAGCCCTGAGCTAACATCTGTTGCTAATCCTCCTCTTTTTTCTGAGCAAGATTGGCACTAGGCTAACATCCATGCCCATCTTCTTCTACATGTGGGACGCCTGCCACAGCATGGCTTGATAAGTGGTGCGTAGGTCCGCGCCTGGGATCCGAACCTGCGAACCCCGGGCCGCCGAAGCGGAGCGTGCGAACTTAACCACTATACGCCGCCAGGCCAGCCCCCAGACCTTTTCAAAATGATAGTGACTACATCTTTATTTCCTTTGTCCATAGGCTTGATAGGGGCTCCCAAAAGAGAGACCTGGCTACAGCTCAGAGCTGAGCTGGAAGCTCTGACCGACCTCTGGCTGACCCACTCTCTGAAGGCACTAAACCTCATCAATTCCAGGTAAGTGGGAACCCTCATTTTCCTTTGTGCCCCTAAACTTTCTTCCATTTGAGGTGGCGTCTCCTGCATTTCCACACTTGAGTGAATTGGACTCTCCAGATTCTCACTTGCACACTTTCCGGAGATTTGATAAGCTGAGGTGTGCAAGGCACCATGGACACCTTGTGCCATAGCTGAGAAGTTAGCCGCAGAGACTTATCAGGGTCCAGCAGAGCTGAAGACCTTTGTACATAGGTCCGTCTTGTCCCATCCACTCGCGCCCACAACACCCAGCACTCACAGTGTCACCCTCGGGAAACCATTTCCTATGATGTCATGGACCATTTGGTGGGTATCTAGTGAGGAGAGGGGGTCCGGCTTCATTCTAGGCTTCTTAATAAGTTACCTCTTGCTCTTTAATAAGATCATCTGAGCCAGAGAACAAATGACTCCCCTGCTCTAGCATCAAAAAACCTTGTGACCCAACACGTGAATGGTTACAGAATGGCAGCCCGTGAGCTGAGTCTGTGCTACTGATGTGTTTTAATCGATAAACATTTTGTCCCAAAGACTGGGAAAATTGATCCATAGCGCCCAGTTTCTAGGTTCTCTCAAAATATCAGAACTGGCATGTGCTCTCCGGTTTACCCCAGTCCCCGCCTCTCCCTGTTGTCCTACACGTGTTCTATATCACTCATTTACATTGCCGATAGGCCCCTGCAGCTGTTTAGGTGTGTGGTCCTTACCATAAACATTTGCTTTTTAAATAAGGAAAGGATTACACCCATATTACATTTCAACATGTCAGGCAGCTTCAGGCTTAAAAGAGAAAACCAGCTGGAGAATCTTTGGGCCCTACCTTCACCTGAAGATGCCCTCCAAACCCCACGCGAGTTCCCGCCGACTCCTGGCTCATGCTGCAGGCTGAGGAGGCCGGGCCTTGTGGCACCTTCGAGTTCTGATCCACAGTCTTCTTTGTCCTCAGGCCCAATTGTGTCAACGTGCTGGTCACCACCACTCAACTAATTCCTGCTCTGGCCAAAGTCCTGCTGTACGGACTGGGCTCTGTGTTTCCTATTGAGAACATCTACAGTGCAACCAAGACAGGTAGGGGGAGGGGGAGGTCAGCCTTCCATCCTGGGGATGGGAAGTTTAAGGAAAATGGCACTGGGGAAGTTAAAGAACTTGCCCACAGGCATGACTCAGATCCCCAAAACAACCCCCACAACCCACTTGCTTCAACCTCTGCTTCTGGGACAGTGGTTTTCCAAAGTGTGTTAGTTAGGATACCTGCAAAACTGCTCTAACAAACACCCCAAATACAAGGGCTAACATCAGAGTCAAAGCTTGTTTCTCCCTCACACGTCAGCAGACTAGAGGTGAGTGATCCAGAGTGATGGGGTCACCCTGACCTCATACTCACCCAAGAACCCAGGTCCTTCCCATTTTATTTTTCCACTGTCCTCTACGGTTTTAGTCTCACATATGTGGTCAAATCAAAGTCCTGCCACATCGTCATTCCAGCTTATGGGAAGGGGGACAAGAGAAAGCAGTAATGCACATCCAGTATTTTTAAGCCAAGCTCAGAAGAGGGGTGCATGTTACTTTAACTCACCTCCTATTGGCCCAGCTTAGTCACGTGGCCACAACTAGTTGGAAGGGAAGCTGGGAAATGTAGTCCACAGCTGAGTGACTGTGAGTCCAGGTTAAACTCATGGAATTCTGTTACTGGGGAAGAAGAAGAAAACAGTTCCCAGTACAGCATGGTACGAGGTGATTTTAATTTAGGTGGTACAAGTCATCAAATAACCTTGAATCTCACCTTGAACCACACAGAGAGAAAATTACTGTTTTTAAGATTCTCTTTCAAAGAGAGAGTCTCAATTTGGTGCTAGCCTGCTTTCACACCTCTAATAGTTGCTAATCTCCCTTGTTAACAAAGAGAAGAGCCTTAGGCTCAGAGCTTTCATCAGATAAGAGGATTTAATAACTAGAAAGTAACAGTGCCATTTATCATCAGGGCAGATAATTTTGGTTTTCTTTTGTGTGGGGAGAGGAGGGCTGCTGTTTTTTTTTTATTCTTATATCACCTAAAAATGTGTAATAATGCAAAATAAATGTGGCTAGTTAAGATGTTTTCAATTATAAATTTTTACCTTATTTTTTCCTGGAGCAAAAGACCATTTTATATACTTTGGAAGCATTTTCTTGAGCAGTTTTTGCATTTACTGAAGTTCTAGGTCTGAACATTATATAAAAGCACCTTTAGATTTTAAAATCATAGAAATTCAGGCCCCAAATGGCCATTAGAGATTCTGTAACAGGACCTTGTGAGTCTTTGTTTTCTTCCTGCATACCTCTAGTTATGTGCCTTTGTAGGCTTATTTCTGATCCTCGTTTTTTTAATGATTTTTTCTTTTTAATTATGGTAAAATATACATAAAATTTACCATCTTAACCATTATTAAGTGTACATTTCAGTGATATTAAGCCCCTTCACATTGTTGTGCAACCGTCACCCCCATCCGTCTCCAGAACTCTTCATCTTACAAAACTGAAACTCTGTCCCCATTAAACAACAACTCCCCATCCCCTCTCCCCCAGCCCCTGGCAACCACCTTCTGCTTCCTGTCCCTGTGAATTTGACCACTCTAGGTACCTCATATAAGTAGAATCATACAATATTTGTCCTTTTGTGACTGGCTTATTTCGCTTAGCATAACGTCCTCAAGGTTCATCCACGTTGTAGCGTGTGTCAAAATTCCCTTCCGTTTTAAGGCTGAATAGTGTCCCATTGTGTGTAGACCACCTTTTGTTTGTCCATTCCTCTGTCAGTGGACACCTGGGTTGCTTTCACCTTTTGGCTGTTGCAAATAATGCTGCTGTGAACATGGGTGTACAAATATCTCTTCAAGACCCTGCTTTCAGTTCTTTGGGGTCTATCCAGAAATGGAAGTGCTGGATCATATGGTAATTCTATTTGTAATTTTTCAAGGAACTGCCATACTCTTTTCCATGGAAGCTGCCCCATTGTACATTCCCACCACAGTACACAAGGATCCCACATTCTCCACATCCTCACCAACACTTGTTCTTTTCTTTCCTTTTCTTTCTTTGTAATAGCCATCCTAATGGATGTGAGGTGATTGGTTTTCTTTTTAATTTAGGGATTCTGTTCTGAATTTTTGTGTGTGTGTGTGAGGAAGATCAGCCCTGAGCTAACATCTGCCAGTCCTCCTCTTTTTGCCGAGGAAGACTGGCCCTGGGCTAACATCTTCATCTACTTTATATGGGAGGCTGCCACAGCATGGCTTGACAAGCAGTGCATCGGTGCGTGCCCGGGATCCAAACCCAGGGCTGCCACAGCAGAGCGCACACACTTAACTGCTACGCCACTGGGCTGGCCCCTCTATTCTGTATTTAAATGGATTTATTTAAGTAAAAATAAAAGTGGGAGTTGATTTTAAGAGAAAAAATTAAATAACAATGGTTCTCAGATTTGGTCACAGTTGTGAAGGTAGTTCTGGAATGTTTGGTCCAGGATGGCATTTCTCTAGAGATTATTCATGAACCAAGTATTCAGTCAGTGGTCAAATAAGTTTGGAAAGCTCACAATGAACATGAACATGTCAAAAACCTGTGCTAAAACTTTTTAAAGCAAAGTTGCATTTGACAACAGAATCTTCTGTAGATTTTGCACAAAAGGAATCTCTAACCCAGACACAGCTACAATTTTCATTTAGCCCATTGATTCTGTTTCCATGTCAAAGGAATCACATGCCATCAGGGAAATGGAGAGTGACTCATTTCCATCTTGGGGAGCCTGAAGATCAAAGAACTGAGGTTATTAAAGTTGAGATAGGACAGAAATTTGGCCTCCAGCTCCCTGTTTTCACTTAAAAACCATATTTTTTTCAATAGTCAGGTTTCTGCTCTGATAATGCCACATAACAAATATCCCCGACACTCAGTGGCTTACAGCAACAGGTTTTTATTTCTCACTCACGGTGTGGTGAGTCAGCTGTGGCTCTGCTGGGCTTGACTCCAGCTGCCCGTTGCTTCTCATGTCCTCATTCTGGGACCAGCGGCCATCCAGGGGCGCATTCTTCTCATGACAGATGGCAGAAGGGAAGGAGGCCAAAGCAAACCACCCACACTCATTTCTTGTGGCAGGTCCCCAGCATTCCACTGGTCAGAGCAAGTCACATGGCCAGCCCAGTATTAGTGGGGTGAGGAGTAGGCTCCACCTACTGCAAAGTGGGGTGGCAGAGGGCGAGGATGTGTAATTTTATAACTCAGCCTGTAGTTATGATCCACTGCTGTGACCCAGCCTCTGCTCCCACAGGGGAGGAAGCAGGCACAGAGGGAGGAACAGTCTACAACAGAGCTGGTTCCTACCCAGAGCAGTCTAACGGGGGGTTCAGAGCTCAAGTGGCAGCCTGGGTTCGAATCCCAGCTCTGTGCTTGCTAGCTGGGTGGCCTAGGCAAGTGGCTTCCCCTCTCTCTGCCTCAGCTTCCCAGTCTGTAAAATGGATGATCACAGTACCTCTCAGCACATGATAAAGTGAAATGGTGCAGGTAAAACCTGTAGCAGTTCCCAGCAGAGCACAAATGCTCAAAAATAGGAGCCATTTTATTATTATTATAATTCCTCCTCCTCCTCCTGCTACGCCACTCATCTTCCAGGCACTTCACCAACCCCGAGCCTCAGTCTTCCCATCTCTAAAATGGGGATTATATTCACTCACAGGATTGCTGTGATAGTTAAATGAATTAGCGTAAGTCAGTGGCTCCCAATTGGGGGGTCGTGGGCAACTTGCCTCTCAGGGGACATTTGGCAACGTCTGGAGACATTTTTCATTTTCACGACTGGAGGAGTTGCTACTGGCACCAGTGGGTGAGACCAGGGAAGCTGCTAAACATCCTACAATGCCCAGGGCAGCCCCGCAGCAAAGGATGATCCAGTCCCAAATGTGAGTAGTGCCGAGGCTGGGAGATCCTGATGTAGGTGACGCATTTAGCAGAGCCCCTGGCCTGTAGTAGACTCAGTGAGTGACAGCTACTATTGCTGCTGTTATTATGTATTGCTATTTTCATTGTTTGTATGGTTACTAAACTGGCTGACCCGATCAGGATGAACCAACATCTGAATCCAGTGTGTCTGGATTTATGCTGCTGCCCAGACACCTGAGAAGAAGAAAAACGCAAAGAGGAGTCATCGACAGGTGGCAAGGAACAAACATACGGGGGAGTTGCCATGAGGGCCAGCTCTGTTGCCAGGCTGCCCATCCCTGAAAATGTGACTCCTGCCCCTCTGCTTCCTAACTCTGGGATCACGAGCAGACACTTCACCTCTCAGCCTCGTGTCCTCATCTGTCCGATGGCCCAGCGCTGCCACCAGGCAGCTGCATAGACTGCAGAGCCTGCCTCACACCCCTGCGCTGTCTCTTCTGCTCTGTCACCCTGGGCAAGCCACTGAGCTCCCCGCCCCTCCGCGTCGTCATCCGTCACATGGGGATGGTGACGGTGTGCACCTCGAAAGTTTGCTTGAGGATGAATGATTGACACCTGGCCCTTAGGAGGACGGCCGCACAGCACAAGCACTTAACCCTTGGTTAGTATTTGCCGCAATCCCAGGTCCTCACCGAGCTTCTTTTCTCTCTCCTTCTGCGCGTGTGCAGGGAAGGAGAGCTGCTTCGAAAGGATAATGCAGAGATTCGGCAGAAAAGCCGTCTACATCGTGATTGGCGATGGCGTCGAAGAGGAGCAGGGAGCGAAAAAGGTAGTCCTTCCCTGTCTCAGGCTGCTTCCTCCTCCTCTCTTGAGCCGCCTCGTGGCTTTTGGGGGCTCTTTACACAGATTTCCTCCACCTCCCCGTCGCTGGCTGGGTCCCCGCCTTCCCAGGCTCTTTGCTTGCAGGTCCATTCCCATTTGCAAATCGCAGAAGCATCCTGAGTAATTTCCGTCTGCAAATCCCCCCCGGGGTGCCTTTGGCTGCTGCCCCTGGTAGCCCTGGATTGTTTCTGGGACAAGGGCTCAGGAGCAGAGGCGCTGTGTCAGGGCAGGCTAGTGGGGGCCAGTGCACGTGTGTGTGTGCTTTATTTAATACTCACCGATCATATGTTCCAGCAACCCTTCCCAGTTAATAAAGACAGCATTAAACTAATGAAAAAGAAAATCCTGCATTTGTGATCTCGGGCCCATGAGGAGAGGGGCAGGGGGTTCTGGTGGCCACAGCTCTGTTCTTGGAGAAGAAACAGCTGCCAAAGTCCCAGGTCTGGACCTGTCAACAGTGTCCCAGAGAGCCTGACGCCCCCCACCCTGAGGCCTGGGAAGTGGATTGTTAATGTCACAGAGCTTAATTTGGGAGACCTGGTTTCCCCCTTCCCTCCCTGGCAACAGATTCCAAGGAAATGCAGAAACGTTTAGGGTCTCAGCGGAGGAAACCCACAAGAAGAGGGAAGGTCCTGAGAGAGGGTCTCAGGAGAGGGGGGCTCAGAAGGCTTGGCATATGCTGTTGCATCCACCTGGAAGGCTCCTCCCTTACCCCGCTCTTCCGGACTCATCCTTCAGCAACACTTCCGGTGGGAAGAATTCCCTGACCAGCTCCCACTCTGCCCTGCCTGCTAGATCAGGCCTGCCTGCGACCCCCTCCCTAAGCTGTCCACATCCACATCGTCCCTTCTTGTCATGAAAGAATCGCTGTGTGATTGGTTGACTAATCCCGGATCCTCCAGCTAGAGTGTAAGCTGCCTCTGTGTGCCAGCCACTGTCACAGACCCTGGGGATCCTGCAGTGAGCAGAACAGACAGGGCCTGCACCCCTCACTCAGCTCACAGCCAGGGGACAAGCAATAAACACACACGTGTAACATGCATTTTACGTGGTGACCAGAGCTTTGGAGAAAAACAAAGCGGGGAATTGCACCAGAGGGGACTCTGTGCGGGGGGGCAGGCCACAAGTGTAGGCAGTGGTCAGGCTGGCCACTCTGTGAGGTGACATCTGAGCCAAGATGGGAGGACGCGGGCGAGTGAGCCAGGTGGATATCAGAGGGAGGGCATTCTCCGAGAGGAACCGAGAAGTTCCACAGTCTGAGGCTGGAGCTTCCCGCAGGGAGCCGGCGTGGCCACAGAAGCGGGCCAGGCACTGGGGAGTGGTGGGAGGTGAGGTTGGGGAAGGGCCCAGGGCCCTCGGGAGGACCTCTTCTTAAAGCGTATTTCTCTAACTTTAACAATGAATTGACTTAGAGGAAAAAATATTAAGGAAATAATAGTAACAGAGGTGATACACAAGGATATGGCCCAAACTGCGGCATGAATCACTTGAAATATCACAGGAACTACTGGGGTTCCAGAAACACCATGCCAGGTGGAGAGCGTGGTCTCTGAGGTGGCCTGGAGCCCACTGCCGGGGTTCAAGGGGGCTTCTCGAGCCCCTCCCTCCTCTTCCAAGTTCAGATCTAGGGGAAAACTCTGCCCTAATCACATGACAGTGACCAAGGTAAAGCTTTGCTCCTATCAGCACTGGACTGGGAACCAGCTCAGGCCTGTGGCCCCGGGCGTCCCCGACCTGCCCTCTCCTTCTCACTGGAGGATGACAGGGACGTCCACAGGGCAGTCTCTGCCACACGCCCGCCTTCTCACCAGTCAGAGAGGGTTTATTAGGGCGGCGTAGCAAGTGTTCTAAAACAACCCCTTTATGATCCTGAAATGAAACACTAATGGATAATATAACCTACTGATAACCAGAGTGTCCAAAAGATCGATATCTCATCCAAGAGAAATAAAGGGCAAGTCATCTATAATCAGAATAACATGTGCTTCCATACGTAAATGTCTGGGCACCAATCCCAGTGCTGGCACCCAAACATGCCGTCACTGTGGATGTCACCTGGCAGACGCAGATGGACATTAAGGACCGTTCACAAATCAGGGGAGGGGCTGCGGCCGTTACATGATTTCTCCAAACTGCGAAGCAGCTCATGGCGAGGTTCTGGATAAAACAAAATACAGACTCCCCTTGATTTACAGAGCAGTTGCTCCCCTGGAAATTCAGGTTTTATTAAAAGCGTGCAAAAGATACTCTGTATTTCTATGTGACGTGTAAAGTGGGGTCAAGGCTCTGGGCTCGGGTTATTATGAAGAGTTTGTACTTACTTGAATGTCTGGCCGCACATTTGAAAATCATTCAGGTTGAAAGTGTGTGGGATGAGACAGGACAGCTGCCCCACCCACAGTGGCCCCAGATCATTGTGATAGTCAAAGTCACAGCTCTAGAAATTTCCATGGGGACCCCTGGAGGGCAGGCTTTTCCTCCTTTCAGAACTGCTGGTCTGGGGTCACCTCCTGTACGGGACCAGGAGGAAGACGAGCCGAGGGAGGTACCTGCTTAAATTCCATGTCCCAGGCTCCTGCCTCGCCTCACCCTATGCCAGCTCTGCTCCCACAGAAACACGCGGCCAGGGGAGCGCATTTGCCCTAAATCCTACTAGCTGTGCCGTTTTGGGCTATGTGGCCTTGAGCAGAGGACACGCCCTCTCTGAGCTGCCCTTCCTCATCTGTGACAGCTGCTGAGAATATGCCCACAGGGCCCAGCAGAAGAACCGTGCAGACTGAGCTCTCAGAGCCTGTAGCACTGGTGTTATTACTCCCCGGGCCTGAGGGTTGGGCAAAGAAGGATAACTCGACCTTTAGAAATTCAGAGGAGGGTCTCTCTCCTGTGGAGCCAGCGGAGAAAGAAAATGTGAATGCTAATTCACACATAACACAAAAACTCACCCAAATCTCGTGTTTGCTCCGAGCCCGCCCTCGGGAGAAGCACGTTGCTGAGAGGCGGCAAAGGGTGTGGATGGGGTGGCCTCTGGCAGGGGCTCGGTCCATGGGTCTCAGCAGGGCCAGTGCTGCCAGCTTCTGCCGAGTGGGGTCTGGGTGACCAGAGAAGCCAGGCAAACAATAGAGAGAGTTCTTCGTCTCTCACCTAAAGCATCCGTCAGCCGCCAGGACGGCTGGACCAGCACCAGGGACCCAGGCTCCATCTAGCTTGTTGCTCTGCCTCCCAGTACTGCTCTGTCCACAAAGTCTGAGAGGGCTCCCCACCACCCCGCGTCCACACTCCAGCCACCAGGAAGGGGAAGGAGGAAAAGGGGGAAGACCCCTCTTCCCTTTAAGGGCACGGCTGATACAGGTGGACATCACTGCTGCTCAAATCCTATTGGCTAGATTTTAATGACATGATCACACCTTGCTACAAAGGTAGGTGGGAGATGTGGCCTTTATTCTCAGCCACCATGTGCCCAGCTGAATAAAAGGAGCTTTGGGGCCGGCCGGGTGGCGCAGCAGTTAAGTGCGCACGCTCTGCTTCGGCGGCCCAGGGTTCACAGGTTCGGATCCCGGGTGCACACCGACACACCGCTTGTCAGGCCATGCTCTGGCGGCGTCCCATATAAAATGGAGGAAGATGGGCACAGATGTTAGCCCAGGGCCAATCTTCCTCAGCAAAAAGAGGAGGATTGGTATCGGAGGTTAGCTCAAGGCTAATTTTCCTCACACACAATGAAAGGGGAACTTCTTCTGAGAGAGAAGAGGGGAATGGATGTTGGGAAACAGGTGGCAGTCTGGCACAGCTGGCATGTGGCAGGCCTGTGACTGGCACCTGGGGGTGCCCGAGCTGACCCCATGCCTTTAACCACTGCTCTTCATTACTGACGTCGTCATTTTATTTAATCCTCAAAACCCCCCTGCAAAGTGGGTATCGTTCCACTTCATTTTATAGAGGATGGATTTGAGACTCAGAGAGGTTAATTAATTTACCTCAAGTCACACAGCTGGTACATGCAAACTGATGTGTGTTTTGCTCCAAACACCTGGCAGGAAGGGGGTGGACTTAGGAGTCTCAAACGCTGTCAGTCTGTGCCCCTGAGCGGGTCAGACAAGAGTGGAGTCCACCAAAGAAGACTAGGGCACCCCCCCCAACATACACACCAAGCTCCCCTAAAAACTTCTGCCAGTGTCTGAAGCAGCAGCCCCAGCCCGTTAGTGAGAAATTCTGTGCACCAGCCGCTCTGGCGGCCTGATGGATGGGAGTCGTTAACCCGGGCCGCCGGACACCTGAGCAGCGTGAAATATGGCGACAGGGCAAGGGGCTTTGTTTCGGCTGACAGTGTTGTTAATATCTCCATTTTAGTGGCTCATTTGTCTCCAGCTCTCCACAAGTGATAAATCCACCTGCGCTCTGGAGCCGTCAGGCCTGGGATGGAGGCGTCTGAGACCTTCTCCTCCAACTTCGCTATTTCCTCCCGGAAAAATCAATTACACTCTTTAAAGGGGGACAGGATGGGCTGGGCGGCGACCAGAATCCGTCTTTGCAGAGAAAGGGAGGCTGGGCGGGGGGAGGGGGGTGGGGGAGCTGGGACAACAGGAGGTCGTTGAAGAGATGGCATCTGTGGCCATGATGGATAGTGTTCTGCTTCCGTTCAGCAAAAGAGAACATTCTAAATGTTGAAGGCTGGTTCTGACAGAAGCTAGCAGTCCACGGTCTACAAAAAAAGAGAGAAAAAGATGTGCCTGTTGATGACTTTGCTTGAGAAGCCCACCTTTCCCTCTTCCTCCCTCCCTTCCTCTTTTCACTCCTTCCACAAATATTTCTTGAGCACCTGTGTGCCAGGAGTCTTGCGCGGCAGCAGTGAACATGACGTTCCAAGCTCGAACCCTCCTCGGGGCCTTTGCACTTGCTGTGTCTTCTGCCTCAACTACCTCCCTCCCCACGTCTGCACGGCTCCCCCCTTCTCAGGCTCTGGGGCCCGCTTACTTATCACCCCCCAGAGGAGCCTTCCTGGAGCCAGTTGTCAAAAGCAGACACCCTCCCTGCAGCTGCTGTCTACCCTCCCCCCTCTTCTGTTTCCTTCATAGAACATACACGAAATGACATCATCTTGTTTATTTCTTGTCTGTGGAGGTGTTATCTGTGACTCCAATGAGGACCCCATGAGTGTGTGCCACCTATGCAGAAGGGCCCGTTGGGGACACCGCAGTGGACAATCCAACAAAGTCCCTGCCCTCTGGATACTCTCCCCATCTCAAGATCCTTAATTTAATCACATCTGCAGAATCCCTTTTGCCATGTAGGGTCGCATAGTCATGGGTTTTAGGGACTAGGACGTGATGTCTTTGGGGAACTATTATTCAGCCTACCGTAGGCCAGAGAGGTGAAGATGAATGGTGATATGAGGAGTTGGCAGAATAATAAGCACAGAGCCCCCCAGAGGCAGGGCAGGGTTGTGTGTGCTCCAGGAACTGAAAGGACACCGGTACAGTGTCTACCCTGTGGGCACAGAACCGTATGGGGCAGCAGAATCACCACAAGAACTCTGGCATCCGTATGTTCATCAAGCACCATCTGTTCACGCAGTAAATGATTTAAGGCCCATGACTGTCTTGAGGAAGCTCAGTATCTTTTAGCTGCAGGGAACAGAAAACCTGTGTAATGATGACTTAAACACTTGCCCACCTAACAAGATTAAAAGTTGGTGTACCCTAGGATGTTTCAGTGGGTCAAAAATTCATCCCTTTCCATCATTTTGCTTTACCTCTCTAACCATCTTGGGCTTTTTACTTTCTGGTTTGTTGCCTCATGATCTCAAAAGGGCTGCCACAACTCCAGGTATCACATACTAATATGACAGCATCCAAATAGGAAGAGAAAGTAAGGAGGAAGGAGTTCTCCTCAGGTGCTTCTCTCTAATCATGGAGGAAAACCTTTTCCAGAAGCCCGTAGTCGACTTCCTCACTGGCTTCAACAGGTCACAAGTCAGGAAAGATGCAAAATAAATCCCTGGCACACAGGGCTGGGGTTGTCATAGCTCACTTAGACAATCATAACTCATCCCCTACGTCTGGGCATGGCGCTGCCACATTCAAGGTTCTGGAAGCCAAGAAGGAGGGAGGATGGCTACTGGGCAGGCAACAACTTTAGCCAATGGTTAAATTTTCCGGTGATAAAAATGTAGTCAAGTTTCTTCTCTGGAGCCAGACATGACTTCCCTGTGCCTCAGTCTCCTCATCTATAAGATAAGATGGACGTAGTGCCGCTCTCTGAGGGCTGTTGATCAGGTTAAATGGAGTAATTAGTGCACGTGAGTGTTTAGACAGGACGTGGCCATAACAGGCACTTAATAAGTGTGAATGGTTGTTATGACTGTGACTGGCTTACCAGTAATTCACTTTGGTTAAGTCAATTCTCTTCTTCTGTCTCTCATCCCCCACTTGAAAAAGATATTTTGTTTTTGTTTCTGGGTTTTGCTTGTTTGTTTTGCTGACTCAGTAGATGATAAACCTCAAGTGCCCAGCACGGTGTCTGGCTCCATAACGGTAGATTTAAAAGGTTATTATTTAAAATCTCGGGCATCACAGGCTTACACAATGAAATCCACGCTCTGCATCACGAGACGCGGGAACTTGACTCAGCCAGCCTTTCTCCACTCCCCACCCCTACGCACACACGCCCACACACACCCGTGCACGCGCACCAGGCCGTGACCACCCCGCGTGACTGCATTCCCAGTCCCCCTCCCCCTGTGTCCTCGCATGTCCCCATTGGCTCACCCGGGGAGGCCCTGCCTGGGACGCCCGTCTCTTCAGCTCCCTGCCAGCCGTGAAACCCTCATTCGTCCTTCGAGGCTCGGTTCTCAAGCACCCCTCCTCCTCTGGGACACCTGTCCCGGCCCCATCCCATTCTCTGCCACCGAAAAACAGGCTGCCTCCTCTTGTTGGCTCCCATAACATTTTATTTACGCCTGCCTTAATGATTTTTTCAAGTCTTCATGTTGTAGTCTATTTATCATTTTTTAAGCTACTGAAAACCCCCACAATTCATCCTTCCACATACGTATACAGTTTGCCCTGCATCCTTCCTGACTTTGTCCTGTCTTTACATGGATATGTCCTTGTGGACACAGATGTAATCGCATTGGCAGCTAATATTTACGGAGGCACCATGAAGAGCCACAGCAATTGCACACGGCACGTATGGCCCCATGTTACAGACAAGCCACAGAGTAAACTCCCTGAGGTCCCCCAGCTGCTGACAGGGGAGCAGAGTTTTCACAGGGCGCTCTTGCTTTGAAGCCTCAAGCTATAGAAATACTTCACAGATTTCTCTCCACGTGAGTGATTTCTTGCCACCATCAATATACCGCTCCTTACACCAGTCACAACTTTTGTTGTATTGGCATACTGCCTCTACTGTTATCTACTTAATGTTTTCCTTTCATCACTTAGATTTAAAATTGAAAACTTGATATCATGACAACACTGAGCAAGAAAAAAAGGAAAAGATGACACTCCCCAGGACCAGCTCTGTCTGTTCGACTGGAGATTCGTGATTGTTAGGGAGGCGTTCACGATACACCAGCACCCGGCTGAGACTTTCTTCTAGAAGTAGCAGGATTGAGAACACACTTGTAAAAAGGAATAGCTTTCTCGCTGCGTGATTTAATTCCACGTCAGCACATCGCCGAAGACCATGCTGGTCCCAGCAGAGGGGAGATGGTCAAACAGGTGACATGCCTGGCAGTCAGAACAGGCTCAGAGGGAATAGAAACGGTGTGGCCAGTCTGGTAGGTTCTGGCCACATAGGGGTCTGCCAGCAACGTTGTTGTGCCTCCCGGTTTGGGAAATGCCCACACGCTATGCTGACTCGGTTGACCTCTCCTAGGCCCTAAGCTCGGGCGTGGGATCCAGGGGCCGCGGGAGGTGCGGAGCGGGCCCTCACCGCGTGGCTGCTCTTCTGTGTTCCAGCACAACATGCCTTTCTGGCGGATATCCTGCCACGCTGACCTGGAGGCGCTGAGGCACGCCCTGGAGCTGGAGTATTTATAGCAGAAGCCGTGACATCGCCACCTGCCATCACGGCGGCATCCCACCCACCCAGGCCCCTCGCCTTCCCCGCGCCCCGCCAGATGCTGGACACTGGGCCGGGTCCCTGCAGCCGAGAGGACGTGTCCCGTGACCATCTCAGAAGCCGTCCTTTCAGTCCACACGCGGGTCCGGAGACGCAGAGTACCCACCCGTGGCTTTGGGATATTTAACTTTGGGGAAAAGGGCTGGCTCAGAGTCCAGACTTTTCTACAAGACTCACAGAACAAAAGCAAGGAATTGCTGATTTGGGGGAGGGCAGGTGATGAGGAGGGGACAGGCTCTTTTTTGTTTTCGTTTTAATTTATGGACTAATCTCATCGCTCCGTATTAGGCTCTCGTATCTGTGTCGCTGGTTTTCTTAGTCGTTGGTTTGGTTTGGTTTTTTAAACTGGCATGTGGGGTGGCGCACAGTTCTAATTTAAGCACTCTCTGCTCCAAGTTGTGCTTTGGGGGGACAATCATTCTTTGGACATTAGTGAGGGAGGCAATTCGGGGCTGTCGGGAAGACTGTTGCTCATTTTTGTTTTTAAGGACCTAACCTGACGTCGTGTGGACAGTGCACGTGCCTTATGCTGCCATCTTGTTTTCTAGGAAGAGGGGACCCTGGGGAGGAGGCGGTACTTTGTGATGGAAAAAAGGCATTAAATAAAACCACGTTTACATTTTGAAATGGGGTAGGGTGTTGCTACTTTGTTACCACTCTTGAGGCTTCTGAATGTGTTGGTCTTTTCCAGAACCTTTTCAGTTGTAAAAGAATAAAATCCAACTCAAACTGGCTTACACCAATAAAAAAGTGTCTTCAGGAACTTAAGGTGAGACTGTCTTCAGGCATAGCTGGATCCAGGTGATCAAATGACTTTCTCCTGTGTGGTCTTACTTCTCAGGCAGGCTCTTCCCTGTGTGGCCAAGATGGCTCTAAGAATCTTTTAGCAAAACCACACCAGCAGAAAGAGAGCACTTGCTGCACAAGGGTTCTGATAAAAGCCCCAGGACTGTGTTTCATTGGCCAAAACTGAGTCATGGGGTACCTGTGGAGCTGGATTTAGGGTTTGATCCCTCATGAACAGAAAGTGGGGGAGAGCTGGTCTCCCAAAGGAAACATCAGTGGGCTATTACTAAAAGAATTGGGGGAAATGGAGGTTGGGCTGGAAAATGCAGCCGACTTCCATTCCAATCATAAGACTTTATTTTCCAGTGGGTGAGCCAAGGATCCTGTGTAGGGGGCAGGAAGAGACATCTGGAGAAGTTCCAAGGACATCTTGAGCATTGTTGCTGCCCAGAGAGTTCCAAGCAGGCCTGGATCCATCTGATTCGATGCTAAACATAAGTATAGACTCCTCCCTCTATCCATGTTGGTGAAATCCAGGGTTATCCATGTCAGTGGAGATGGGAGATAACTTGGTAGTTGGAGTCTCAGAGCTAGAATCTCTGATGGATAGAAAGCCATCACCAAGGGTGAGATAGACTCCCCAACTAGACTCGGAGCTCCCTGGGGGCAGGTACTGGCAGTTTCATCTCTATATCCCCAGAATCAAGCACAGAGTGAGGTGCTTGGAATCTGTCCACAGAGTGGATGCTGACACAAATTGGAATCCCATTATAGATGAGATGGAAGGAAGGATGGAAGTATAATTGGAATCATAGTCCAATGGGTGAATGGACATTTGGACAAATGGATGAATGGATGGTTAAATAGTTGGGTGTGTGGGTGGATGAATGATTGGTTAGGTGATTGGATGGTACAGCGATTGGAAGGTGGATGGCTAGCTGGGTGATTGGAGGGGGGATGGATAATTATGTTGGGATGACCATATGGATGGTTATATAGATTAGGGGTGGATGGATGATTGGATGAATGACTGAAATGGTGACCTAATGGTTGTGTGGTGAGATGAATGGACAGATGAGTGAACGGTTGCATGGTTTTATGGAAAGATGGATAGATGGTTAGTTGGGTGCGCGAGTGGATAAATGAGCGTGTGGACGTTTGGATGGGCAGATGGATGGAATCCATGGATGGTTGATGGGTGGTTGATAGTAATGCTATGATGGTTGGATATGTGGATGTGAGAATGGTGTGGTTAAATGGAGATGAAGAATCCCTAAAGTTGCCTTAAAAAGCTGGGTCAGCCTCACTATCATCTGCCAGCTTAGATTTCTTCTAGAATGAGTAGAGGAGTTTTGCAGGATGAATTGGCTTCTGGCTAGAGTGGAGAAAGAGACTGGAGCAGAGCCACCCTGGAAGTCAGTGATGTGACTACTCCTGGATCCTCCCTGTCTCCCCATGGTTTAGCACTCAGGCACCCATTTGTAATCATGCTCTTTCCATCCTCCCTGTCCTGCCACCATCAAAACCTGCTGTTGGGAAGAATTCTGTTTAGAGTTGAACAAAGAGTAAATTACTTATAAAAAATAATTTTTATTTTAATAGGCTTCTATTAGAGGCACTAATAGTAGACTTTCAAGCCTTCCTTTACACAGGAAGAGGTTTGGGGTGAAACAGATAGACCTTCTCCTTAATCCTGAAATTAACTACCGAGGTGGTCAACTACTTTTCTTTTGTGATGACTAACTGTTGAAGGCTGGTTCTGACAGAAGCTAGCAGTCCACAGTCTGTAAGGTAAGTGTTTCAGCCTGAATTCTAGATGACTCAGAGCTGACGCTGGGCAAGGACAGTGTCTTTCCCATTCTGTATACTCAGTGCTTATAATAGAGTCTGGTACAGAGATGGCACTTAATGAATGTTAGAATGATGGATGGATGGATGGTGGATGGGAGGTAGATGGATGGATGGTGGATAGGTGGTGGATGGATGGATGGATGGATGGATAGTGGATGGGAGGTAGATGAGTTGATGGATGGATGGTGGATATGTGGTGGATGGATGGATGAATGGTGGATGGGAGGTAGATGGATGGTGGGTGGTGGGTGGGTGGATGGATGGATGGATGGATGGATGGATAGTGGATGGGAGGTAGATGAAATGATGGATGGATGGTGGATATGTGATGGATGGATGGATGAATGATGGATAGGAGGTAGATGGATGGTGGGTAGGTGGTGGGTGGATGGATGGATGGATGGTGGATAGGTGGTGGGTGGGTGGGTGGATGGATGGATGA